CTTTATTAACATTATTTAACCTTTATTAACCATTAAACCTTTATTTAACTTTTATTAACAATTCTTTCACCTTTATTAACAATTATTAAACCTTTATTAACCATTATTTAACTTTTATTAACCTTTATTTAAACTTTATTAACCGTTATTTAATGTTTATTAACCTTTATTTAACCTTCATTTAGCCTTTATTAACCATTGCTTAACCTTTATTTAACCAGGCAAATCCCATTGAGATCACAGATCTCTTTTGCGAGTGAGGCCTGGGCCTGAAGGCAGACTAACATGCATGTTTTTGGTGTGTGGGAGGAGACCCGAGTACCCAGAGAAAAGCCACGCAACACAAGGAGAACTTGTAAACTCCACATAGAAAGACCCCAGGTCCAACCAGGGATTGAACCCAAGACCTCCTTGCTGTGAGGCAACAGTGCTAACCACTGATCCATCTTACTGACAGAGATTTATGAATTAAACTGTACGACAGAAGCGATTTGTGAGAATCACAGGCCACCTGCGGCTTCTGGGACTCGCCAGCATGTTGGAGACGACCTTGGAGGGAGCTAGCAAGCACGGTCCAGTGGAATGCCCACAGTCTTGGCCTATTTGGATCCAAAGTACCAGCAGAACTCAAGGCTGACGAGAAATAACAGTCTGCCTGAAAAATCAACAGCTGTGGCTTATCTGAATCTGACTCCTCTGTTTGGCATCGAAGCAGGCCCACTTATTAAATTACTCCTGGGATATGTGTAAAGAAAGCTCTTTCTATCGTAACCCCCCCCCCCCCCCCCCCCAAAAAAAAAAAAAAAAAACTTCTGTGAAGGCTCATCAGAAACTGTACCGGCTGACACCAACATCTCATCAGGACTATGGTCTATCTGGAGGTGCTTCATGGACAAATGTCACCGTCTTGTGGTGCAGTGCATGTACTGTGTGTATAAATGTGCTGCTGGTAGTTTTGTGATGTCTTAAATCATGTCCTGTGTACAAGTACACTTAGAGAGGTGGGGACACCTTGTAACAGGTGTTCACGCTAACTGTTCAGTTATGTAATAAATGTTGAGCAAGCTCAGTGAAAAGAATAATGTGAGTTCTTAGTAATGTTGTGACCCCCTTCCTCAAATAGACACAAAAATCTGGTCAGTTAAAATCAAAATCCTGTAACGTTTATTTTCAGTGTGTATAATGACAATATGGCAAATATTTGAAACATGAATGAATAACAGTAGCATTATTTCAGAGGGTGACTGATGTAAAGTCTTAAAGCTTTGAGAAGAGATGTTCAATTTGGACTATGTTAAAATTTAGATTAAGAGGGTTCATTAACAGTCAGGGTGCAGGGCAGGACGGTCAGGGTGCAGGACAGGGCAGTCAGGGTGCTGTGCGGTCAGGGTGCAGGACGGTCAGGGTGCAGGACAGTCAGGGTGCAGGAC